TCGTTGGCGAATCGGCAACCACTGCAGTTGAGAACGGTATACCGACACATGGTCATATTTACGAAGATTGAAGACGCATCGAATGCAGTTATTCAGAAGTCGGTCGAGTTTATTGAGTTGATCTGCATTCAGGTCAAAGTAGCACACGTCACCATAGTCTATTAAAGGGAAAATCAAGGCCTGCACAAGCATTATTTTAATATTAGATGGTAAAAAGTTCTTAAGTCGATAAAGATAGCGTAAAACACCAGTAACTCTTTGGCTGACACTTTTAATTTGGTCTTGCCAGCTCAGTGTCATATCAATGATCAAACCGAGGTTTTTCACATTTTGGCTGATAGGAATAGGAGAGTTATCAAAAACTATTTGTGGGAGACAGTCAAAATCAACATTTCTTATGTTATGACTACTCCCGATGATAGTGGCTTGGCATTTAGATGGGTTAACAGTTAATCCAAACCTATCAGACCAATTTTTTCTGGCAACTAAGTCCTGGTTAACCTTATAAAAATTTTCACGAGTGAGTGACAACGTCACAGATTAAAAACCAGGTGGTTGACTTCGCAGCGAAGCTTTTATCTTTATGGAGTTTGATCTAATAATCGTTACACGTTGCCAGTATGGGGACGTCTGGATACTGGATCACGCCGCTTTGGCCCACTATTGAACAAAGGCCTCCCCCACAGGCTGCCGTGAAACACGACCCTGAGCCACCTGCATCCAGCAGACGTGGCTCCATCTAGTGGGATTAGAAGGAGTCACGTCTGTCTTGGTCGAACTGGTCTAATCAAGCGTATATTGTTCATATTGAATACCAAACTTTTGTGTCACGTGGCATCTTTTTTTAATGCGAAATGTCAAACGAGCAGACGGTGCACCTGATGTTAAGTGAATACCGCCGCCCATGGACATCTGCCACACCCAAGGGTTACAGATGCGTTGAAATCCTTTTGAAAATTGGGCTCCGGCTACCGCACTCACCAGACGAAACGCGAAAGTATTTGTCATACTTCCACTTTAACTTCTGCTGGTCTTCTGTGAGGTCATGGTATTTACCCGGACGGGCTTGCCCATTCGTGCAACAGCCGAGGCTGCTGCGTGGCCCTACCACCGTATACTCATCAACGCATATGTGTAAACGCCTATCGACAACCCTAATTACTTCAGATATTAGGGTCTAGATCCCAAAGCTGATTGGCAGCAGGTAACAATTTATCACCTAGTAGATGCGTGCAGTAGCACGTATGAGCACATGCGCGGCTCTAATCAACGAGTAGAGTCGAATCAAGTTTTTGGATCTTGCTGTTCTGCCAAGCGTTCGACGAAGCTTTAATAGTCTACGGACTGAAAGGGAAACATCAGTTATATACAGATTTGATGACTTCGTGGCGCAGTTGCCAAGGTTTTCGCTTCGGCGTCGGGGGCCGTGGGTTCGATTACCACAAGGAACAACTAACTGTGTGACCCACAGATAGTTGTTTCGCAACATGGTGTTTGTCCGCGTGAAATTTATGTTTGTAAAACGTTCTTACAACACAGGATAATGGTATCCTAAAGTTTGGGAAAAAATATGAAAAAAGATATAAAATTTTTCCCAAACCTCGATGACGTCACAATACTGACGATTATTAACTCTTTAGCTCACATACAAAAAAAAAATATCGTTTCAGCGCAGCGAACTTTTGTACAAAAGAAGAAACAATTGTAGGGCAAATTATGCTTTTTGCGCTCAAACAGCGTTTTGCCGCAATGAATGAGTTTCAACGGTGGCTTTGCACGTTTGCGAGTCGACGAACATATTATTAACCGAATTGCGCCAAATGACGGCCATCTTTGGTGATTTAGTGAAATGTGCACAGATAAAACATCTCTCGTTTGTCCGTCTTTTTTTTATAATTCTAATAAAAATTATAATTTTAATAAAAGGAGGGGTGTCTGCTGTTGGCAAGGTGGTGATTTTGTTGACGTGGTGATGTGATGTGGTGTGGTGTTGACCACACATCGCTTCTGTTAAAACTTTTAAATAAGACTCAAAATAAGAGCAGAATGTTTGCAAGTAACACATTTGAATTTTGAATCTTTGACCCCTCGCAGTAAGCGATTCCGTAATAGTAATATCACTATATAGTATAAAAGTCGTCTCACTGTCTAGAGCTGCTCAGATCTTTAAAACTACGCAACGGATCTTGATGCGGTTTTTTTTATTAGATAGAGTGATTCAAGAGGAAGGTATAATGGAGAAAGGAATATGTATAATTCATTGCACCCGTGCGAAGCCAGGGCGGGTCGCTAGTACTCAATATTGCAATAAATGATTATGGTATGAATATGATCTTTGCTGTTTGCTTTTTAACGATACTTTTTATAATTTCAATTCTCATTTTACTCTGACTAATCCATATAGGTACATAAATTATTTGTAAAACAAACCTTTCTCCGGATTTTCGGAACTTAATGCCTTTTTTTATATAATGCTCCGTTAATATATTGCGTGTATTTTGCAAATAATATTTTTATTATTTTGTAGGGAATCTCATCAAAAAGTGTTTGTGTTACTTTGGTTAATTGATATGGGCAAAAATAATTCTGAATGATGTCCCAGGAGTGATTGCATTGTATGACTCCTCATATGGATTTGCCCTGCGCAGGAATAGAATCTTCGACCTACTGGGATCACGAGTGCGTTGAAGATCCGACGCTTGGTCAGCTCATCCGGATACCTCACTCGGCGGACAATACGCAGAACTATCTATACCTACATACTTCCACTTTCAGTTTTATTAAAGTAAAGTATCAGTTTATACATGTTAAAGGCATGGGCAAAGGCCTCCTCTATACAGAGGGTATCAGGGCATAGTCCACCACGCGTATTGGCGGACTTCATATATCTTTGAAATATTTTTTTTGTTATTATTTCGAAAATATGCAGGTTTCCTCACGATGTCTTCCTTCACCGCAGAGCACGTGATAATTCGGCACTTAAAATTAACAATTTCATTGGTGCCGGTACCGGGGAACCAACTCCAGTTGCTCGAGTATATTGAATTAAAGGCGAGCGCCCGGACACTGAGCTATCAGTTTTATGATAATACCACATAATGCAGTGATGGCCGACGTCGCAGATTCGATTCCTAACTGCGCAACGCATTATTGTCCTTTTAGCTACGTGTATGGCGGCGCACTTGTCAGTCTACGCGAAACATGTTTACTCTACCGTTAAAGAAATTTCTAGATGGCGCTACAATCGAGGAAAGCGCCAAAATGAACATCGTTTTTTAATTTCTTTAACTTGTAATGTACGTCATGTTGGTTCATTCTCATTTTCAGTGTTATTTGCGAGTTATTTTATTAGTTTATTTATGAATTTTTTTATGAAGAAAACGGGCAAACAATCAGGAGGCTCACCTGATGGTAAGTGATAATATTATAGATATTAAAGTGGATTTAAACAGTGCCGGATTAAGCTAGCGCGGGGTCCGTAGCAAATTCTTTCAAACAGCCCTTGATCTACTATGGAGTCCTTAAATATACGAGTAAAGTGGTAAAGAAACAATTCAATACTCTTACTTACTTAATAATTTTCAATAAAAAAAATTAAGTCTCAGGTAGAAATGAGTGGGCTTAAATATGCGGGGCCCCATTTGGCGCGGGGCTCGTAGCAATTGCTAGTTTTGCTACGTGGTTATTCCGGCACTGGATTTAAATCGCGTGAATATCGTCATCTTTGTAATTGTAGTTAGTAGTGAAATGACCACGATTGGTGTTCACATAGCATTAGCGAAATGCTTGTAGCTTTGAGCATAAGGTAAGAATTTAACTTTGATATTATGTTACGGGCTACGCGTAAGAACCAGTAGCCCGCTGAGGTTTCTGTTGCGGTAAACGGGAGGCCGTCGGATATACGTGAAGCTATTATCTAGCGTACTTTACCGATACCGTACTGACATTTGATGTCTTCATATCTCATACAAGTTCAATTCGCCGTTTAATAAACAGTTGAAGAGAGAAAAGAAAAACGTGTAATAGGCTCTACCATTTATGCTTTTGTCCAAAAAAGTTTTTATTCGGATGTAGATAAAAGAAATTAATGTTGCTTTCGTACCGGTTTATGATAAGATGAAGCATATTACTCTGTTATTAGTTATTAGTATAGCAATTTTGAAAAATGTTTGATATGAACTGATTGAAAATTTGAAGTTTATAAAAAAGAAAAAGTTGATTAAGAAAATTTCAATTGCAAACTTTTAAAAGAGTTATTTTCAACTATATTTAGTCGAACGCTCTACTATATTTTAATTCTATAATTGATCTCTACGTCTGATTTAGTGTCCGAGTCTAATTTGGAATTTGACCCCATCAAAAACCGCAATGAGAAATCTTTTAACGTGGAGAACAATTAAAAATAGATTTTATAGCGACAATGTGTCGTTTTATTCAAATTAAATATTGACATCGAAATCGTTTATTTAATTCTTGTACTTAGGAATTTTAGCCTTGAATAATAATGCAATAAATTTAGACAATCCATTATTATATATTTCGAGAAGCTAAATTGCTCGAAAATTTTTGCCTTTTTTTGTTAGAAGTTTCACGTTTTTTTTCGTAATCAGGTGTCACGCTTCTACGTTTAATCGTAAGTATTATTTTGTTTTTGCATAATAAAATTTTCATCACATGACGACTTTATTATTACAAAACAAAATGATATCTTTTTATTATAAAGGAAAAGAGAAAAAAATTTTTAGTTCTTTAATATACACAGATATTTGTATTCAAAAACTCTATTATCTAGATAGATGACTCTTAAAACTCTGTTTCCCGTTAGTTGCTAAAAATTAAGTACGATTTAGAAAAACAACCTTTTAAATTAAGTGTAAAGCTATGTTTACCATACTGAATAAATTTTATTTTTGAATTACAGTTCACATGATTATTTTCTTTGGTAGAGATTCATAAACTGTAGAGTGATCTTAGCACGTTTGACGGTGATTGAAGCTCTAATGATCGTGTGTATACGGAAGTCAGGAATCTGGGTGAGTCGCGGTTAGCGGGAAAACTGTTTAAAAACTCGAACCGGGCGGACGGAACGTGCTTTTCAAATTCGGAATGAATCCCGACTCTCGGCCGATTTGTTTGCGCTATGCACGCAAGTTGTGCAACCGCGTAGCCGGGCGAAAGGGTAAGTAAACAGAATTTCGGGAAGTCCGCGGGCGCGTGGACTCGTCTGGTTTTCGTCGCCGACTGTACCGCCGGCCGCGATAGGAGCATGGGCAGGCAACGCCAGTACCGCGCGAGATCCCGCCCGGTTCGGACGCGTGATGCAGCGCGCCGCGACACGATCACACGCTCCCGACAACTCCCGACGCGTACCGACCAAGTGCGAGCGCGGAATATCACGGCCGTCCGGCGGCGGTTGTTTCGGCGTTTCCCCCGAATTTTGAGGTTAGGAGTTTTCGCGCGCACGACACTGCCCGGCTCGCGCGGCCGGCGAGTTTCGCGGTTGCATAACAATGCAACGGGCGGCCGCGTGGAAAATGTCGTGCGCTCGGTGAAAATCCCCCCGTTTTCGTTACGTTTGGGCCGCGCTTCCACGCGACTCCCTGTGACCGCGTCGCGCCAAGTTTTCGGTCAGAAAGTTCCGCGGCTCAGCGACATTGCCGTCGCCGAGTTCGCTTCGAAGCTTAAACCGCGGCTCACGTGCGCCGCGATTTCTAAATAGACGTCCGCATCGCGTCCAATGCGCGTGAGTTCAGTTCGCGTCGGGTCAGATCGAATCTGAGTATTTTGTCCCTCGAAAAAGTTCGCCCCTGTGCGACCGCCGCCGCGTCGCGCCGCGATATTTTGTGCGTTATCGGTATTTTTAGTGTTGTGCCTGTGCTCAATCACCGGTGATGTTTCCAGGTCAGTGGGGGAGTACTGATTGGTGCCCGACTACCTAGTGCTGTGCCCGCGACAGTGTCGACAATTCAGTTAGAGTTACAATAACCACAAGTGATACGAAATCGGAGAACGGTACGAAAGCGAGACTGTGCGCGGTTTCGAGGGAAAGAGAATCTCCTCGGCGGCCCGTGGTTTCGTAAGTGCATCGGCTTCAGCGTGAACGTAAGTTTCGGCCCATTAATGCATCTCTTATCTCGCCGCGCGGATAGGTAGTTGAACGATAAACTCTAGTGTGGCCAGTGTTTTTCTCGCCGTGACGTTTAGCGCACGCGTTTCGCTCCACGACTGGTATTTGCGAAAGAAATGTCTAATTCGAAGTAACATTTATCCTTGCTTATATGAGAAAACGTAGTCACCCGTTTGAGCTTGGATTTATTTACACGCAATTTTATTAATTGCTACATATTTTTAAAAGATTAACTGTAGTTAGTATTGTGAAGTGACAGTTAAAACCGTGAACAGCCAATGTCGGATAATCTGTTAGAAATTAAGCGAACGATTAAATTCGAGGTCATGAGTTTAGAAAATTTGTATGATCATTTTTCATACACGTATTTATGATTAATCGTGTGCTCTGACTATTCAGTTACTAGGGAAAGATCTAGGGTCGCAGATTCGATTCCCGAAAGGCTGAATTACTATGTGACCTACAGATATAAAAGTCATAGTCCATATAAGAATCTCTACAATAATAATCCTAATTTTGTGTGTACTTATGTACAAAAACGTGTAGGCTGCCATTAAACACATTAATATATTATTAGCAATTTTAATATTTCGCACATCTTTTGTGAACATTATAGTTCCTATATTTAAAAGGTAAATGAAATCATTTTTTGTTGTATTTTAAATTATACAAGTACTTATATTTTCCCTAAGAAATTAACATTGACATATTAATAAGTAAATAAAAAAACCATTAAGAGAGTTATTAATTTTATAAGTTCGCATTAAAGAAAAAACGCATCAAGATCCGTTGTGTAGTTTTTAAGATCTAAGCATACATAGGGACAAACAGACAGCGGGACGACGTTGTTTTATACTGGGTAGTGATTTATTTATTTATTTATACTGTCGTGATAGAGCCATTAAGAGTTAGAGATACTTGAAATGGACGTTCCTTTAAAATGGGTGGAAATTTTCCTGAATGGATGGAAGCTTTCCATACAATATTTGTACACCACACCAGATCCGGAACAATAATAACACGGTCATACAAATTACGTGCATCGGAATGCATAGGAATCGAATCTATGAGCCGCGGCGATTTAGCCAACACACATCGAATGAATAATAACTAATCATATGCGATTAATTTGAGAAGGTGTCATTTTAGACCTCGGTAGCATAAACTCGTTTCTATACTCACATAAAATTAACAACGTTTATTAAAAATTATAATTCAAGTACTACAACAATATACATATATAATATAAATATTCATCTACATACAAAAACATATGAAATGAAATGAAATTAAATCTGATGACTCCGTGGCGCAGTTGCCAAGGTATTGGGTTCGACGTCGGGGTTAGTGGGTTCGATTCCCACACGGGACAACTGTTTGTGTGACCCACAGAGAGTTGTTTCGCATCTGGGTGTTTGTCCACGTAAAATGTGTTTGTAAAACGTCCTTACAACACAGGATAATGTTATCCCAAAGTAAGGGCAATGTTTAAAAAAAGAGATAAAAAAATAATAATTCAAGTACCCGGTGAAATTGTTCGTTGCAATTTTTTTTTATGATATTTTTTTTAAGTGTCTACTCTTATCACATAACATGAGGAAATCCGATTATTTTCGAAATAATAATAATATTTTGAACTCGACTCCACGTTCGGCTGTGGTCTAATAGCTTCTGTATGAAGGAGGCATTTGCCCAGCTGTGGGATATAAATAGGCTGTTTTAAGCGAAGTATAATTTATTACCCGAAATTCCACTTGATACATAATAATAATAAATTAATGTTTATTAGAATTAAACATTCTGAAAGAAAGCTTTTAAATTTAATATTATAGAAATAGGTAGGTACCTCATAGAATTAAAAAGAAAACAAAATAAAAAAATCAATTCATATTTAAACACTTTAATTTATAGACGAATCTGACTGCATCGAATAAAATAAATTTAAAAAACTGGCTAAGTGCGAGTCGGACTTGCGCACGAATGGTTCTGTACCAATGCCTATAAAACGGCAAAAGAATCTCGTCTGTTGTATGGGAGCCCCACTTAAATATTTTTTTATTCTGTTATTTAATATTTGTTGTTATAGCGGCATCAGAAATACATCATCTGTGAAAATTTCAAGTGTCTAACTATAACTCTTCATGAGATACAGCCTGGTGACAGGGAGGCAGCGGAATCTTAGTAATAGGGTCCGTTTTACCCTTTGGATACGGAACCCTAAAAATACAGTATCGCATTTTATCATTAGAGAAATGCGCTTTAAAATGTATTTTTCAAACTAGTAACATTTTATGATCGATGGTTTCGCGTATAGCGAAAGTTGATTAACCGGTTTCCTATAACTGTTATTATGAAGTTAATAAAAACTACAGCTACGTTGCTATTCTTCGATTGGCCGTTGATTGGTTTCAGGGTCTAATGTGGCTGCCTTACGACTTAGTGATCAGATGAGGCTAGGGTTATAGGTTCACAAGGCATTAATGGTATTATAAGCTTTGCATTAGTTTAGTAGATTAGTTCTCGAATGTAATCTTAGTCTATTCGTTGAATCATTCGCCTCGGTGAGCATTTAGCGGGTTCGATTGTCTTATTTTGAAACAGGTAGAAAGTAATTTATGAAACTAAAAAACTCTACTGCGTTTCCGTGTAATTTGGGAATGATTTTGATTTTTTCTCTTTTTTTTACGTGAAAAGTTGCCAAGCGAGCCGGCGCTTCACCTGATGTTAAGTGAATACCGCCGCCCATGGACATCTGCTACACCCGAGGGTTGCAATTGCGTTGACAACCTTTTCAAAATTGGGCTCCGGCTACCTCACTCACCAAACGAAACGCGAAAGTATTATACTTCCACTTGACGCCGGTCTTCTGTGAGGTCGTGGTACTTACCCGGACGAGCCTGCCCATTCGTTCAACAGTTGAGGCTGCTGCGTATCCCTACCAGTATCACTCTCACAGTAAATACGAAACTAACGGTACCTTTCAAGCTAAAATGCATGAAGCCGTTCAGACTGCAGAGCGTGCCGAACAATTATACATACACGCATACATACATACTCTTGAAGAAAATAACACTCCTTTTGGCGCAGTCGGGTAAAAAAATACATTATATTACTACTAGTATATTTTGTTATGGAACGATATCGCTTTTTTCATAATCAACATTTTCCAGAAAGCCTTACAGTAGATTAAAAAAAAAATGCCTAGTTCGAAATTCGAAAACGAACTTGGTAACATTGGCGTCGTCTGACGTCATCACGTGCACAAGCAAGTCAATCAGGAGCTAACGAGTTGGTACATTAACACACGTGGCGTAAACTATTACGGCTCGTTACGAAGGAAGGACTATGTCTCGAAAAATAATATTCCATCTCATCATCAATCATTGCAAAGACTGGTGTATTCTTACTAACATAACGTGTTAGGAGTTTTTAATAATCGCTTTTCCCAGCTGTGGGATATATGTATGTGTATACGCTTGGTAGGACCACGCAACTGCGAAGTTGCTCGTATGGGCAGGTCCGTCCGGGGCTCTACCACGTTCTATGAAGCTTTAGAACTCTACAGAATGAAAACGAAAACACCATTCAAATGATGACTCCGTGGCGCAGTTGGCAAGGTTGGCTTCGGCGCCGTGAGTCGTGGGTTCGATCCCCACACGGGAATTTTTGTGTGACTCACAGATAACTGTTTCGAATCTGGGTGTTTGCCTACACGAAAGTTATGTATGTAAAACGTCCTTCCTACACAGGGTAATGTTAATAAGGGAAATGTTTAAAATAATTTTATGAATTGATTTAAAGTTAACATAAAGGTTTAGCAGTCCAATACTGCGTTCAATTGACACCGATGGTGTTGCAGGAAAAACATTGTTACAAACTCATAATTCTTCGCACCTGTCGCTATTTGATAGGTAGGTACTTCATTTCAAAGTATCGGCGTCCACAACAGAATTGGGAAAGCGTGAAAGTGCTTATTAAATCTTCGTGACCGCTCGATTTGTCGTGCCGTCTGGTTCCCTCGAATTTAACCGTAACGCCCCAGCTAATCGCTCGCTAAATTTCACAAACTGAATCAACATCTCAATAATAATCTCAATAATCTTTTAAGTCACTACGTGTTAGTAATCCGGTAGTGAAATTATAGACACTACACGCCTTATAAGGTCCTATAATTTTCTTTTGTCTTTATTATCTTCAGGCCCTTTGCTTTTAATTACTTTCTGGTTAGTCCGTGGCTACACTCAGTCTTAGGTAATAAAGTTTCATTGTATTATCAATAACTCGGGAAAATACTACACTTTGTGTATCTAACGAATGAAAACTGCAGTTTAACTGCAGTTTAACTGCAGTTTAACTGCAGCAATATCACAAAAACTTACTTTAAAATCCGCAAATATTCTATCTTCCTAGATTTTATAGCCCGTTCTGGATATCATAGTCGGTAAGGGGAAGAACGGGTAAGGGGATAGTGCCTAATAAGATGTAGAACTTTAGCTAATGTATGGTACATCTTTACATAGCATAAAAACGCTTCCGATGCTTGTACACTTATATCTTTAAAACTACGCAACGGATTTTAATGGTTTTAA